TGAACTTGATCTCAACTGTCTCACAATATAAATGCCACAAGCTCAGAAGGACTTGAGCTTCCAGTTCCCCCATCCCTTCCTCTGAGGTTAGTGAAAGTGAGTTGGCATCCAAGAGAAGCAGCAGGTCAAGGAAAGCCTTATGCACAAGAATAATCACTCTAGGAAAGACCCTCCTGTCACAAAACAAATCTACCACACTGTGAAACTACACATTTTCAAACACACATGCTCCCACAGTTGCTTCCTTCTTCTCTAGCTGCAGAAAGGAAACTTCAGTGCAGTTACAGACAAAAAGTCATATATTTGTTTGCATATTCTGATTTCTCAAATTATACCAAAACGTAATAGCACAAGACATTTTTTCCTACCAGGAACTAATGAAAGAGCACAAGAAGGATAATGATCTAGAGGTGGTAGCAACATCAGACTTGTAAAATGACATTTCCTCAAGGTATTAACAGTAATACTTTCAAACTCAATCTATGAGGTATACATGTGACATACATGGGCAAGTGAAAGCTAGAGTTTTTAAAATGTATTCAATTTTCAAACACAGAATATTTTAACACAAAGTTAAGTTTTATGATAACAGTTAAGGTCACATTAAAATTTTCGATCACACTTATGTGATTGTTCAGGAAAAGGCATTTCAGCATATCTTTAAGTCTTATTAAGGTCTCAAGAATGTGAGCCTTATGGTTTGCTGAGCCATGGCATGAGCCACCAGCCAAACTCAAAGGATTTTCAGAACAACCACAGTAGCAAGGTGTGGACTGAGAAAAGGTGAATCACATTATCTCCACTATTCAGGAAGATTTCCCTCACACTGTGATGAATTTATTAGGACATACAATAATTTACAAGATATCCTGTTATTTCGTTACTTTAAAATTACTGCTGGAGCAGACAACAAAGTTTTATAGAAGATCTCTTGCTAATTCAGTATAGTACAAGCATTGCCATACATGTAGACCTGAATGCAGGGATGGAAAAAAGGCTCAACCAAATATGTCCTCCTAGACAACATGAAGATAGACTAAACTGCAGTAAGTGCCCTCCTTGTAGGAAATACAGTTTATTAAAATCTAACCCTGTTTATCAAAATCTAACCGTGGCCTTGCTCCAAATTCCATGTTTAATGCCACAAAATAGAAAGAATAGCAAGGACTACCTCCTGGCTGATGATCAGCTAGCTTAGTATGCTGCTCCGCATACTATGCTGACCCTGTGGCTCCCAGCCTCAGCCAAGTCCAATGGTAAGTTTCCTGCTTGTGCAACCTAGCCAGCACTGCGTGGCTCATTCATGTGGCTAGGATTCCTCAGTTACATCCAAGAGTTAGTCAACATTCATCATAAAAATCAAACACTTTCTCACATAGTTGCTTAAAGTCACCTGAGTTATTCAGCGACCGCTTCCACTCCCTGTTCACCCCCACATTTTTTAAAGTATTCAGTCCAGTGTTTACTACAATACAGCTTTTTAAGACCTATGTACCTTGATACTTGCAGGAGTAAGTACACTGGCACCAATTCTAGCTTTGGAGGTTTTTTGAGATAGAGAGGAAGGGCTTTTGCTTTTCTTAAACCGTCCAAGTCCTCACTAGGAATGATTTTTTTGGTTTCTTTTGTCTGTTTTTGTTTGTGTTTTTTTTGTTTGGTTTTTTAATCACAAATAATTATATTATTGTCATGAACTCTGATTAGGTATCCAATCTAATAGACTGTGAATTTTGCACCTTAGTCTCAAAGGACTTAATTATATTATTAGTACAATTTGTTGAAAGTAAGTGGTCCCAAATTTTCCGGTCTGCCCATATTAAATGAAAAGAGATATTAACTTATGGAAATATTTATGTGAACTAAGTTACCATTGTCAAATGATGACCTTATGAGACTGGATAAAGAAATAGGCATTAACATAGACTGCTACACTGCCATGAAACCAAAGGAGAAAAATAATGAGATATAAAGCAGATTAGCATTAACTAAAAACCAAACAACCCACACATAAAACAAAAATAATTAAACAGTCTCCAGTTTCCAGTATTTACTACACATATAATGTCAAGTTGTTATTTTTACTGACATCTTTCTGAGCCTCTGCACATTGCAGTGCCCTCTAATAGAAACAACACTGCCAGAACAGAAATAGTCTCATTTTCAGTTCTGTCTCCACTAAAAGTTGATCTTAGTTTTTTTCAATTCCCAATTTATCTCTGTGTGGAACACTATCCAATGTATGGCTGCTGAACCATAAATAATGATGTCACTGTAATAAATAATTCTAATAATCAATTTAAAAGCAAAGTAATATGATGACTAATTTTTAAAGGTGAGTTTGCTCTGAGTTCTTACACATATAGTGCATGTTCACTGCACAATTTACCTCTCCCATACATTTGAACTACATGTGGATGATGCTCCTTAATTTTCTCAACACACCAGTTGTCAGCATTATTCCTTAACAGAGAAGCAACTTCTCACAAATACCTTCAGCAGATTCTATTCTCTTCTGCCATCCCTAGAGGACCTGTCTGAACCTGGCCATTATGGATTCGACTTCATTCCCTTTGTCCTTGTGCTCTGTTCAAGCCATACAACTGGTAATTAAAGCAGAATGAATCAAGATGGGGAGCTACCATCACAACAGGTAATTAAGCACTAGTACGACAGAACCCAGTCCACCGAGCCAGGGATAATGAAGGATGTTTTTCATTGTGTTTGTTCACTTTCTCACCTCCATCAGCTTCTCACTGTAGCTCCTCCATTATAATATCTGCTACTGAGTCCTCACTTTTGGGCTCTTCATTTCTCTCTCAGCCCCATATTTCCAACTTGCTGGAATTTCCTTTCCTGAAACAGTTACCTGTGTGCCTGCTTCCCCTTTTCAGCAAATTGCTGTTCCTCTTGCAACAATAAAAGTCTCTCTATCCCTCTGCCCACATAATGAGCTATATACACATCAAATCCACTGGCTGACATCTATATTCCTGGTGTGCTTTTAAAACAGTGATTATGCTACCTCAAAAAATTTTAAGTGTGTTAAAGGCTTGAGAGCATTGTCTGTGCATTACAGACTGCATTCTCTCAGTCTTGTGTTTCCAGCTTCAGCCTATCTATACTCCGTTTCCTCAGGATCAGACCTTCCAAAACACTGGACACTTGCTCCTGACACATTTAGGGAAAAATTGATCCTCTTTGCGCAGCCTCTTTTAAGAGAAGATCTATTTATAAAATACCTTGATCTTTTATGCTACAGAAGAGATACTCACAAACACAAGCACACACACAGAGAAGAAAACCTCTACTGAAAACGTGAGCTCATGGAGTGTTCTCCTCTGAGATGAGTCCTTCCCTTTCTGCAAGGAAGGAAAGATCCACAAATTTCTGCAGCACCATTTTTCCTTTTTCTTCTTCCCATAAGTAAGAATGGATTTATCCAATCCATAATGAAAGGCTACACAGCAATGGAAAAAGATATCCATTTGATCCAGTGTTACCAATCTCATTTACATAAGATACAGATGCAACACCAATTTCTCTCAAGCACTCGTGCAATATGAATGCACCTCCCATTTGAGGCATTCATGATCAGACCCCATTAAGTGTCTGCCTGTATAATTAATTGCAAGATATTACACACACACAAATTAATGTTTCATTTTATCTAGGAAAGGATTAGTTTATGAAATATAAATCACAATGTACTGACGTTTTAGAAACTGCTTAATCTATGTGTGATACATAGGTCTGGATGGTAAACTCTTCTGGTCCTAAAAATATTATCATATGTTTTACCTTCCCTGTCATTACATTTACTGTCACTTCATCATCCCAATGTTAGTCTGGTGCTACCAGACTACCTTTGCCTTTGTATCAAAATGAACGAAAAATGCAAGTTAAAAAACTGAAACATATCTGATACCTTGAAAGAAGTGATGGAATTAAAACAGACTGAAAGGAGTTAAACTCTCTCCTACATAGCTTCATAAAAAGAAAACTCTGAAGTATCAACATTGAAGTTCTAGAAATTTATCATTATGTTCAGACTAGTAGAGAAAGCACTGATGGTTTTTCCTACCTTCATTTTTAAATCCTAACCATAAAAAAGTGAATGTAGACAACAACATATATTGTAAATAGGACTCAAAATCCTACTAGGCATATATATCTTGGCTTGATTACTTCAGAAAAAGTTACCCTTCAACTTGAAAAATTACATCATTAAGGAGTCTCCTAAACTGGATTCCAGAGATGGGAAACTAATAACTTTATGTCATTTCCTTTTTTTTTTTTTTACATACTTAGAAATTTCTACTGCAAAAGAAATTTTGTATTTATTTGTCGGATCAACTCTATACCATTAAATACACTTCTCCACAAGGCATCTGTTTTATTGACACAAGCAGTGCAGAACACTCCCATTTGTCTACCTGCTTCTGACTGCCAAAACCCTTCTAGGAATCATTTCCATGGTGGATGTCCCTGTGACAAGGGGTTTCTAGAGCCTCACACTAGCTTAACTGAAATTTTTTCACATTTTCTTCACCATTTCTCTGGAACTGGAGCAGCCTCACATATATCAGTGTAAGCAAAACTCCTGCTTGGTCACACCACTGTTTCAGGATTATAAGACTAAACCAGTCTAAAGATGTATGCCCTAGGTATTGAACAGTTGCCACAAATAATAAAATTCAGCAAAAAAACACAATATAAAACTCTACCCTTACCTTAGTCTCTCTTTTATGCACTAATGGCATGCTAGGATACCTTTTTTACAACACAGCCCATCTGACTAAATAGCTGAAAAGAAAACAGTGCCACTAAGTTATTTAGCAATGTTCACCACTAATATACCCAAACACTTATCTATTGTTTTATGAACACGTGGGCTATGCCTCAGTTACACCAGATTTTCTGAGCTCACTTACACTAGCATAATCAAGATCAATATTTTTCGTGTGGTGATAATGTAAAAAGATGTGTCACATTCAACTTACCTATCACATCAGATGTTCACGAGCCACAGTTCTGCCTCAATCTGAAGAAAACTTGACCTGTTGAATATGAAGCAACACATTTTCACTCATGATGAAGTCTTGCACTCTTTAGAACAGGCTAACAGGTCACCAACTTTTGTGACGAAGAACCAAAAGCACTTTAGCACTAGAGACAACTTAGAGTCCCAAAATTTGTTTCCATCTTCTGTTGCAATTCAAATACTTACAGATAACTTAGATTTACCAGTCAGTACCCTATGTCATTTTAATATTTATACAATGTTCACTGGGATACAGCATTTAGTTTTGGGAAGTATCTCAGAGAGATGTACAAAAACCCCTGAAGGCTATTGATTGTTAAAAATTGGTACACACAAATTCTTATGGTGCCCTTTGAACAAATCTGCAAAGACCAGAAAACAAAACATGCTATTCTTCCTTTACTTCTGCTTTTCATCTTTTCTCCTTTCTGTATATTTTCTCTCTCTCAGAGTAAAGTCAAAAGAAGGGAGGAAAAGAAAGGAAATGGAAAGAAATAGTAAGGGGAAATGAGGGGACTCTTTTATACCAAAAGTACCATTACATCAATTGCATTTTTATAAAAGCATCTCTCTGAAAATCGTAGTTGTCAAGTTTTTAGTTTTCTTATACTCACACAACCTAACTGAGATCTTGAACAGTTTTGTTGGAATTTCTTGATCTGTAAAGCAAGGCAAACAAGACTCTTTAGTAGCCTACATTCACTAGAAAGTAGGCAGATGTCAGAGGTGCCCAATACTCATTAATGTATGTAAAATATATTCCTAATGCTAATATTATTGAAAAGAAAAGAGGTCAAGCTTAAAGTCCCTACTAATATGACAGTAATATAACATTAATTTTTATTAGCTAACTTTGAGTTTGAGATGACACAGTACACAATCTTCTGGTGTACAGAACTGTAAGTGTGCTATATTAGTTGCTTCCCAAGTGAAGCACAAAACATGAATTCACCATTACTGATTTAAATTGTTTCACTGACTCCACTTAAGCAGCACAAGAAATCTTGTTTCAGACTAAGCTAAGAAAAAATATGTCAAGTCAGGACCATTTAATCTATGACACCTCATATTGATTTTTTTACGCAATATCTATTTACATGGGCCTTCCTATTTTTCCCTTGGTCACATGAATGCAGGAAACTCCACTGCATCAGAATGAGATCAGTAAGCAAAGGTTGAATCCCATTTCTACTCAGTTGAGTGGTAGAACTTCCACTAACTTGATTAGGAGCTGTAGCAGTGCCTGAATGGCAAAAGATATCCTGCATGTCCCTTTTACTTACCTTGGGCTAGAATTATATCCATCAATATTTTAGGATATAAGAGGGAGAAAAAAAGAAAATCAAATTCAGTTATTTGATAGAGTTGAGAGAGGGGATTATTTCCATGTTTTGTTTTGTGGTGAGCCACATTTACACATAGCCAAGTACAAACAAGAAAGTAAAAACTAACACTGTTACATGATGCAAGGAAAAAAACAGCAATCTGCTTTGTATCAGGAAACTTCCTCTGGAATAATAGTGTCACACATGCTTGCATGGCATAAAGAGGAAAGAGATGCAGACCATCAAGTTTCTAATATTGCCTGCCAGCAAATTGCCTTGTCACACACACCTTCCATATGAGAGAAGAGTTACACAGCCCTTTGTGCTGATTTGCATCACTTGTTTGCTATTACAAAATATTCCTAGGGAACATTTCAATAATAAAAGAGATTAGCTTCAAGCCAGTTGGACAATGCTCTGCAGCTCAGATTAAATGTATCGATTGCTTTCAAACAAACAACTCAAAGCTGATCCTCCACCCTTGTCATGGGTTTACTTGTTCTAAAAAAAACAAACAGGAATTTTCTTTCCCCTGCTGCATGCATGTAGGGGAGGGATATTGAATGGAGAGGACAGTTTTCTGCCTTGGGTGACTACCTACACAAAGGAGCTGGCTGGTAGAACTACATTCCAGCCTGATAGAGGCTGAGAGAGGGGGGAGGAGTTTTTCTCCTCTCCTTTCAAATGCAGGGCACTTCACTTTCTGCCTTGACAGAGACAAGGTGTGTATGTGTGTTGGAAAAGCTTTGAGGCGTTTTTCTTTTGACCTGGTCATCTGGCTGCTCTCCGGCCTTGGCTTGCCTGTGTGCTGCCCTGTCTCCAGCCCGAATCTGCTCAGATTTCATCGTACAGTTTGTGCTCACTGACGAACAAAGGGGGACTCCTGTCTACAGCCAGCTGCAGACAGTGTGAGTTTAGTGGGAAAGAAACTGCCCTTCTTTCCCCCTTTTTCCCCTTCCCCTCCTCGGGGTGTGTGTGGGGAAATCTCCATTTTTTGGCTTCCCCTGCAGTCCGGGGCCCCCAGGTGGCGACCAGAGAACAATAGCCCCCCCACCGACCATCACTGAGCACTGCAGGCTCTGCCCCTCCAGTGATCCAACAGCGCCTGCCGACAGTGATTAGAATTGCACTAGAGGACAGAGAAGTATCAAACGGTTTCCTTTTTTGAAGTGGACTTTTTGGGTACAGGGTTATTGTTTAGTTGTTTTTGTGTTTTTTTGCTGTTCTTGCCTATATACATATATCCTTTAATAAAGGGTTGTTATTTCTTCCTTTTTTCCGTACTTCCTCGATTGGAGCCTCTTAATTTCAGATTTACAATTGCTGAGAGAGAGGAGGTTGGTCTACCTCATAACTCATCCTCCTTAACAAAACACTCCAATCTCTTTAAACTGAGACAACCCCCAACCTTGTGAACTATACTTTCCTTTGATTTACATTTCCTGTGGCTTGAATACCTCTGAAGTAGTATTTGCATTAGGTCCTTGGAAGCAATCAAACCTCTGTCTTTGAAACTATTAGGAGTAGGAAATGAAACTAGCTCCTTTAGTCCCCTGCTGTTCTCAGAAGGGTCTCTCTCTACATTCCTCTGAAGGTGCACAATTTCTGTGGACTTTAGTGGGTAGTCCAGGCATTTGAGCAGCCATGACTGAGAAGGGCTTTCACAGCTCTTCCTATGAGGATCTCAAAACATTTAAAAGGTGAGTGGCAGGATAAACACTCACATATCTACCTAATCTTTATAATCTCTTTGCTAAAGTTTGAAGGGAAAAGATTTTTTCTTTAAAACTTTCAGATCCATAATATCTTTAAGAATATTACTCATCATATTTTCAACCTATAGTGCCTTTATTTGTATTTTTGATTAGAGGAAGGTTTATGTATCAACCTCAGTATAATGGAAATATATTAGCAACCTATTCAAGCATAGATACGTATGTTTATCTAGATAAACAAAATTACCTTGAAAATTCACACAGTAAGTTTGATACACAACACCTTTCTTCTTTTAATTTCAAATATTGTATTTCCTCATTTAGAGAAATGAAGTACCATTTCCTTTTTTAGATCAAGATGGAGTTCATGACTCAACCTTCTCTTTGCTTCTTTCTTTCAAAAGACCATCACCTTACGGTGCACAACACACAGTTGTGCAATACTAATGAGGGAAAAGGTCCTTGAGTGAATCCTATTAGATGTGCTCTTTACTGTTTTTCTGCAATATGGCTGTTTACAATAGAGAACATTTTATCTTTGGACTAAACTGTCAGAGTAGGAAAACATGCAAGTCACTCAAACCAACATACAATTTCTTAAAAGAGTTAAAGCTTCAAAAAAGAGTTGATTACTCAGTGAGTGATACGAACTATTTGGCATGCAGTGTTATTCTATCTTCCTCTTAAGGTTGTTTTACGTATACAGCATATGTGTTATTTTATTCTCCCTCAAATGGCAATTTAAAGATCCTCAACTTTAAGTTATTATTCCCTAATGTCTGAGACGAGACATTAACAGCAACAGTTCAGATATCACAGCGCCTCTAAAGACACAGGCTGGTCAGCCACTGCTCTGGCCCTGTGCAGAGCTTCCCAATAGGCAAGTCATGATGGAATAAGCGGAGCAAAACTAGATGTCCTAGAGAATAAACTGCTACCCTTCATGGAAAGGACAGACAGACAGCAAAGTCATGCAAAGCAAAGACAGTGTGGGACTCCTGTGGTGGAGATCATCCCGTCTGTGGCTCTCAAGGGATTGGGCACCTTGGGGAGATGTTGCTAACATGAATTTTAAGAGAAATCCCATGACATTGCCTCTCTTCTATGCCACCCCATAGGGCCATAAACCCCTGTAATTTAGCAATTCCTGTGTCATAGCTATGAAGCATAAGGAGACAGCAACTCAAAATTGAAACAAAAAACCTAAAACACATGTGGAAAGATGAGCTCTTGATTTAGGTTCTAACTCCAATTTTTTGCACATCATACAAGGCTGCACACCCTACTATAGCGATCAACAGGACAAATTTTCACATTGATCTGTGTTCTAGCCATGAAATGCTGTAAGCACTAGATAAGGATTAATTCTTTCATCCAGTGCACCAGGAGACCACTGGGAATTTATCTGAACGGAGAGAACTTTAAATAGAAACAAAAAACTGAGTGTTGATTAACATAACTCAGTATTTTCTTTTTAAATGTAATTGAGGAGCTGAAAGTTTGGGGATCTGAGTTATGCACTCCTTGTGCACTCAGAAGATACAGAATGAACATGAGCAGTGTAAGCTTTTCCAAGGCTGTTTCCAGCCGAAGTTCATTATCTATGGACTTCTGGAAAAGAAAACCCAAGCCCACAAACCAAACCAACTACCCAAATGTAAGAGATAAGAGATTGTCTAGTTAGATTGTGTAGATTAGCATAAAGGATACAACCCCTCCCCCCAAAACCTCTCTATCAAACCACTGTCATAATGTTGTAAGACCATTTTACAGTGGAGCCAGTGAAGACTGCTTTATGCTCCCTCTGTTCCTAAAATACTCACTTCTTTTTTTTTTTTTTTTTTTTTAATAAAAAGCAGACAAAATCAGCCTTATCAGAAAGATTGAATTTCATGGCTGGCATTTTGGAATGCTTTATCTCTAAACTTTAAAAAGACTAAATAGTTTTAAAATGGTGTTACAAGAAGATGGACCTT